ATCCTGCCTTTGTCTCAAACCGACTTGCGGGTTTTCTGGATCTAGAATGTAGATGGTTCTGGCCTAAGAGTTGGGTGATGCTGAGTGGTGGATCGCCTCTGAATCTCCGCCCTGTGTGTCTCTTTCTCTGTGGGGCAGGACTAGTTATGTGCAGACATGTTCCTTTGACCCAGATAGTCTGAATTATATTTTAAAATCCCTCCCCTTGCCTCAGGACTGGGTGAAGCATAATTATAGCTGACCACGCCTACCCATCTCCCCACCCTCCCCGCCGCCCACCACCCCTTTCCTTTAGGATTTTTACCCTTTGCCTTCCACTTAGGTAAAAGCCACTTGGGCCCCCAAAGAAGACTCTTGACTTTCAAATATTCTTTTTACGCTCGGGGAAGGAGACGAAGAAGGTTAAGAATGTGGCCGTAAGGTGTCTGGATAGCAGAGGGCACCAATGTAATGTCGCTCTTCTTCGGTGTTGCCCCTTGAGGCTTGGTCCTGAGTTTATGAGCTGTTTGTGACCCTCTTACTCAGTCGCAGGTCAGTTTGGATTATATCGGGGGCTCCCACACCGATCACCACGCTTTGAAAGAGTCTGCTCTCGCGAGGCACCAGATTCGTTAACGAATAGGAAATTCCCTTTTTTCTGCTCTTTTCATACTTGAAAGTCTTCGAAAAATGAAAACGCTCCAGTGCGGTGTCTTGACATATGAGTCAGCCCATAGAGCATTTTCTTGGATAAATGAAGACTTTACTGTCCAGTTATGTTAATCAATCTGGACTCTGTGGACCTCACGAGACTGGAAGAGTGTGGCCCAGAGCAGCAGCTGGAATGAAAGAAAAAGCTCATCTATTGGTATGAGGTGGCACAGACTACACGAAAGCAGACAGATGTGAGGAGGGAGTTAGTTTATCTCTACCTGGCTTTGGAGATATCTTCGTGGGCGTCCTCGCTCTAAGACGCTTCACTGTGCAACCATGGAAGGTAGGCTTTCTCAGAGTTTCCCAAGAACTCCATTAATTAACCAGAGTTAATTTCCTATCTCCATGCAACGTCTGTTTGGTTTAGGCCAAAAAACATCCACCGTAGTACTAGTTCTCAGGTGAATAGAAAGTTCAAAATCTGGGAGCCAGGCGGCCTGAGTATTAGTCCTCACTCTGAGACCAAATAGCTGTGTGCTTTGGGCAGATCCTGCCTCCCGCTAGATCAGTGGTTTTTAACCAAGACTGAAACACGAGAAGCTAGTAAAAATCCTAGTTCTAAGCTATGTCACACCTAATAAATCAGAATGTCTGAAGCCGAGGCCCCGGCGTTGGTATTTTCAAGAAACTCTTTGAGCGATCTTGATATTCGGCCGGGGCTGAGAACGACTAACTTCTGTCTTAGAGGCCGACTCAGCCCCGGCTTACGACCCCTGGCTTTCCAGTCATCAGCCAATCACTCTGATCATGTGGATTCCTGAGGTGCCAAACTGCAGAGAGTGCCTATCTCTTGCCATCAGACTCCTTCCTTGTCTCTAAGATGTCCTCCATTTGTCCCCTTGGCTTTTCCCAAAAGCATTTCACTCATTCATTCGTTAAACAAACAATCATCAAGAGCCCCCTAGAGCCTAAATATTATTCTAAGTGTTAGAAATTCAACGTGGCCCGAACCAAATCATGCGATCTCTGCCCTTGGAGAGTTTACAGACCGGTTTACGTGAATTCAATGAAAAGATTTTATTACAACCCGTGATTTTTACATTTCGCATGATTTTTTTCTATGATAAGAAAAAGAACAGGGCAGTGAGATAGCTCGTAACGGGCCTGGGCGCTCTGGAAGGCCATGGAAGGCTTCCCTGAGAAAGATAGTTAACTGAGCTGGCACCTGGGTAAGAGTTAAAGTCGAAAAGTGGGTCTGGGCGAGAAGAACGCCCATCAAAGGTGGGAAGACCCTCACCAACATCTGGGAGCTGAAGGGAGGCAGGCGAGAGCCCAGGGGGCCGGGGTGAAGCCTCCAGATGAGGTTGGCCAGGGGGGTCCTGCCCAGGTCCTCCAGGGCCTTGCAGGCCATGTCGAGAATTTGACTCTTTATCCCAAAGGTAATGGGAAACTCTGAAGGATGTTAAACAAGGGGGGCCTTGGCAAGACTTTATTTTAGAAAAATGTCTCTGTCTACAGGGTAGAGAAGAGATTTGAGAGGGCCTGGGAGGATGTAGGGAGACCAGCTAAGAGGCTATTACAGGTCAGCCAGCAAGAGACAGTGGTGGATTGGCCCAGGGGTATGAAGAGAGCCGCAAAGGACTTGGCTTCGGGGCTCATTGCAGGTAAAATCATCACTACGGGTGCGAGGCATTGGACGCAGAGAGCAAGGGAAAGGACGATGGCAGGAAGGACAGATAGGTTCCCCCTCATTCTAAATCAGCCTCTGCCTGTCACGGTCAGTGGGATTGATGGGTCTGCACATCATTATTTCTCGTAAGCTCTCAATGGCCCAGAGCACCAGAGCTATTTGAAAACCCAATTGAGCTCCAGCTCTGCTTTGCTCAGGGG